GACTCAATTTGCACTATTTCTAGCAGTCTGCAAAGGCCCTGAGGCTGTGTGGAGTTTTGACACGGAGCTTTGAGCAGTAAGAAAATGTGACTGGACTGGATTTCTTTTACTGGTCTTCGTCGCAGCAGGAGAAGAAAACAATTGCAGTCTTGGGAGATTATCGCATGGCAAAATGAACAGTCCTTTTCATGATGGAATAAGGTCATCTTATGGGTTGCCAACGGGTGTTATTGCACACTGAAACACGACTGACTACAGCCCATCTCCCAGCTGTACTTAGCCCACCAATTTTGAAGTACAGGAAGCTTCACATAGGGCTAAGTGTGGCTAGGAGACAGGCTCCCTGTGGGTTGTAGTCGCCTGACAGCATTGGCAATGTTTTGGTATGCAATAACATCTGATAGCAACCTGTAATGTGACCTTATTCCATTGGGGAAAGGACGGTATACATTGTTGTGCGATAATCTCCTTGGGGTTGCTGGAAATGTGAGGGTTCCTTTGCCAGCTTAGAAGGGGGGACCATAGGTGAAGGAAGAAATTTTAAATCTTGTCATTGTTTGGAGGAAGGGGCTTCCTTCCCTGCTTAGAGGGACATGAAAAAGAGGAAGAAACAGGAATACTGGTGCTTGGTGTGACTGGAAGGGGTTTCCTCTGCTTGCCTGGGGATGGGTGTGAGCAACTGGAGCCTGCTTTCTTCACTTGGCAAGCCTGCTGGAAAAAGCATAGCAGACGCCTTGCCTGACTGCCTCTGCCTCTCTTTCTTTTTCTCAGTGTGCTTTCTTGCCTGGGAATTCTGTTGGCAAAGGCAAGGCAGACGAACATAGTTCCTACCAGTTGTTCTCAGTCTGTGTGCTCCTCTGTAGAGGAAATGGCATCTAATGGCAGGCCAGCTCACCCAAGCCAAACTCCCTTGGGATCAGCACTTTTTACTTCTTCTGGTCCCTCTAGAAAGCATCTGCATACTTCCCTACTGGGAAAGGTAAATGTTGACATTTTCTGCTTTAAACATCTTTAAAGCTGGTGGTGGGTTAAGTACAATAGCTAACTTTGTGGGTACATCAGCTCCATTTGAATCCATTCTCCTGGTCTCCAAGGATTCCCTATGGAACAAGCACTCACCATTTATGCTAGTCTCAGTTTACATTACAAGATCAGTAATACAGCCTTGAGGCAAACTGGGGCCTGCCTGTAGCTCCTTTTTTGTCCCACTGCTGGCAGGCAAATCTGTTTTTATTCACACAGGGCTTTGTTGGTTCAGCTGGTTTACTGGTGGACAGTATTTTGAAATGGCTGGGTGTTTCATATGTTTCATTTTATTCCTCTGTTTCAAAATTGGGTTGCTCTCATATTTTAATTGAGATTTTGTATTTATCTACATTTAAATGTTAGCCATTTAAGGAATTTAAGGAATAAAAAAAAAGACATCTTCTAGCCCAGGGACTGGCAACCTACGGCCTGCGGGCCACTTCCGGCCCAGAGCCCCGTGCTTACCGGCCCAGGCAGACCCCTGCTGCCACCATCACCGCTGCCACCACCGCGTAGCCGTGCACGCCGTGAACACCATTTTGTTTTCCAAAATGGCGTCCGTGATGCGTTTGCGCATGTGCAGGAGTACTGCGCATGTGCAAACGCATTGCAACTGCAGCAACGCATGCACCGGCGGCGGTGGCAGCAGCGCGCGGGGGGGTCGCTGCGGTAATTCCCATTTCCAAGGCCTCCCCGCTCAATCCTGGGGCAAATTCGCCCAAGG